TTTAGTTCAAATTATTGCAGTTATTTATTTTCAAACAGACAAAGCAAAAATGAATTGCGCCTTAAAATTGCAGTCTGTCTGAACACAGGCAGATGGCGCTAATTCTGACATACTGCCTGGACTAATGGACTAATCTCTTCCAATCCCATGAGCCCCTTGGCAGCCAAAAGGACTTATAGTATTGAAAGATACAGGCAATAAACTGTCAAAATGTGTTTTCCAGTGTTTCTGTTTTTCTGGGTTTTTTTTTATGTGTAATATATCTTTTTATATTGGTAAACCGATTGTAGATAATTGACTTTACAAAAGGCTTATATATAAAATAAAGAAATAACTTGTGTCGCAAGTATCTTTATGATTCCATGATATTGTGTCTAAATTTTATTCATTTGGGTCTTTTCTGCCCACTATCATTATGCTACTGCTATATTATTCTTCAATTTCTGCTGGCCCCTTGGTCAGCTGACTCTTCAAAAACACATTTCTAATGTAAATGAGACTGTTCACCCGAATAAATAAAAGACATCAAAATGTTGACAAGTGATTTACAACAGCTTAAATATTTCTGGCAAGTACTGGAAATTACTTTTTGGTAATAACACACAGAGCTTCAACTGAGAGACATGAAAGGCAGGATGAATTTTTTACAGAGGCAAAAAAAAGTAAAAATGTAAAAAAAAGAAAGTTTTTGTTCATTTTATACATGTTCAATCATATCTAAGATGTGAGTCAAGACATAACATGTTTTATATGACTGATTTGCAAAATGTAACTATTTAGATGGTAAAGATTTTGCCTTTGTTAATTAATCTACTATAATGTGTGTTTGTGTGTATCGACAGATGTCTGTCTGTACAAGCTCAAAGCTTTTTGTGATTGCTGTTGTCGGCGTGCTGATCATTATTTTTGCATTCTATTTCGGGAATTTGTGTGATGGGACAAGTGCGCTAGCCTACAAAAAACAAAGGTAAAGTATTCCTGTATCCTTGTGGTGTGTGTGTGTGTGTGTGTGTGGACATAAAAATATGATATGTACGGTACACATTTTTCTTTTCATGGCAAATAGACTGAAGCAACTGAGTGAGAAGGATAAACTGATGTAGCTAAAACAGTGCTGTGCTGAAAATGACCAGTGCACAAGATTTGTAAAACCCTGATAGTCTGCACGTCAATTATGTATTGATTATTTGATAGTGGGGGCAGCACGGTGGCACAGTGGTTAGTGCTGTTTCCTCACAGCAAGAGGGTCCTGAGTTCAATTCCACCATCAGGCCGTTCTCCCCTTGTTTGTGTTGGTTCTCCCAACACAAATATATATATGTATATATGTATATATATATATATATATATATATATATATATTCAGATAATTACTTATTAAAAGTGAGACATTTTAAATGAAAATAAGAAAGACAAGTATTTCTTTGTGCGCCCCTTTCCCTGTTAATGCCCTAACTGGCCCCCTGGCAAAACTTTGCTAGACCCGCCCCTGCACAGTTACCAGCTGTCAGCTATGTAAAAAAAGGATACTGGGGTTATTTGTCTCTCAGAAACAGGTCATAACTTCCCTTCAACTCATTAATGTAACCTAAAAGGTAAACCTGTTTCTCCATCACCTGTTCAGCTGTGATGATTCAGTAAGGACATCTCGTGGTTTCATCTTCATGTTTCCCTCTCACCAGATAACCATACCGATATCATGACCAGCAGCTTTTACAAACATCAGCTGATACTAGAAAGTAATATTAGATACATTCTAACAACAGCTGATCAAACGTGCTGCTATTTATTAACGCGACATCCGCTGGTTTCCTCTTTCTGGCGCAAAGTGGGTGATAAACAAACAAGAGAGAAAAGCCGATCAGCTGATCATTGATCCGTTTCATGATTGAAGTAGGAATAGGAGAGGGAGGGGAGAGAATGAGAGAAGAAGAGGCAGCTGTGCAGCGTAAAGATGCATAATAAATCCAGCTTTGTGTCGTTTTCCATTGTAGCTGAAGTCCGGGACATACTGTGTTCCTTTTCAGCTCAATACGAAACACGTAATATTTTCTCTGATTACGGGACGATTGGCAACTCTACTAACTAACCTTGTGAATAAAATAAAGTTCACTATCAGTAACATCATAGCACCCACCCAGCTGTATAGAAACTCCATCATGCTAGCTAGCACGCAGTATGAGTTATTGCAACTGACGGTAAAAAGTCAGAACAACGAAAATAAACTCGACCTAAACTTGGTTTATATTTGACCCAGATAGACTGCAGGTCATAACTTCTTACCTGCAGTTTAGTTCACCTGACACTCAGACCGGGGCAGCCGCCTCGGGTCTCTCCTTCTCCCTCCCTTTCGCTCATTCACTTGCTGGCCTCTGTGAAAGCTCCGCCGTAGAAACCACTACCAAACAACTGAGTTATTTTTACACATCGGCCAGTATCTGGCCAATCCACCAGCTATCATTGTTTATACTGTTACAAAAACAAACAAACAAACAAACAAAAATAAAAATGAAAAATCACCATCGGCTCACTGGGCAAATGCCAGGTATGCCCAAAGGCCAGTCCAGCTATGGTCTGTGTGCCAAATAACACTTCAGAGTGCTCAGCCTTCTTGGGTTAATTGGGTGGAGTGCTGGGAATTGCGCCACCTGGTGATCAGTTGTGGCAGAAAATTCTGGACAGACCTGGTGAGGGTATGCTGAGGGCAGGGGCCATGAAGAGAGAGAGAGAGTATGCATTGTATGCAAACAGCTACCAAACAGCCATCATAATTCGTCATACAATGAGAACAGGACAAATCAACAATGGACAATGACTAATTAATATTAAAATCTGTAACATAATGCATTGTTTGGAGTTTAGTCTGTTACTGTTACTATTTTCACCATTTCTTCTTGGAGCAACTGTAACACACATAATTTCCTTAGGGAGTAATAAAGTATTCTGATTCTGATTGTTTCAGGATGACCTGCCATTATCCAATGACACATCTGCTTATCTGTATCTTTTGCTCGTTTCGCCGCCTTGCCTTTTCTATTTTTTTTCTAAACTGAGCACCCGATGGCTTTGAACTTTTCTTGTCCATCTTCCTCGTTTTAATTTTGCACTCCAGTATGAACACAACTCGAGGATCGCCACAACTTAACCTAATAGACCTACATCTTAGTTCACAAATTCACTTTGTCTAAGGTGTATTTCTGGGATTTCACACAACCGAGGACTCAGATTGTGAGGACATAATGGGCTTGGATTTACATCATTATGAATGAAATGTGCTCTATTTGGAAGCAGCCGCCCCCCTCCCCTTTCAATGGGTTGTGTGTGAGACTTTAAATCATCAAACTGTAAATTATAAATTTTAAATTGTTATTGATCCCTTTACCCCGAGTCCTAAAGTGTATATTTATTTTCTTACTCTTCTTATATTTATTGTTTGTTTACTTGCACTGCTGTAACTGGAGCCTCGTCTCTCTATATACTGAACTGTATGTAGCGGAGATGACAATAAAGTTTACTTTGACTTCAGGGCTCTCGCACTCACTTTTCACGTATAGAATTTTGAAAAAACATAGTTTCAAATTATAAGTCTGCAGCCCCGCCCTTTCCTCCCTGTGTTGCAAGCAGCAGGTGCACCTTGCAAACGGAGGGCGCCCCTACTCTCAGCAAATGTGCGATAGAAAACCAATCGGTGTCTATGCCATCTCCAGTATGCGCTGGCTGATGTCAGGGCAGCATGAGTATGAGCAATTCTATTTTTTTGCCGATGCCCGTGATGCCGCCCCTCACCACGATGTTGCCCCGGGCAACCGCCCGTGTCACCCGTATCAAAAACCGCTACTGCGTCAACCGTTGTTTACAGCGCAGTCGGCCACAGTTTTTTTCTTTTACTTACTTCCGAAAAGAAAACGTCATTTATGCTATCCAATAGGCTACTGAACAAATTTAAACTTTCTAAAATCATGCAAAATTGCAAAATGCTTAGCTGTATCACTAATAAAACCTCTGTAACTTTGCTCTGCTTCACTTTAGCAGAATCAGGTAATGTTCAAATGTTAATGACTTTCTTTTGTTTTTGAATATTTATAAGGTTATCTGCTATAAAATCCCAGGCCAGGAAAATCGCCTTCATCTTTTTCTGTGTTTTTGACACAAAGGCATCTGCTGTGATGCTTACACCTTTGATTAAGTCTTGCAAGTGTCAGCTTTCTTTTTATACATATAAAAATATGGAAATGTACTGATAGTTGATCAGAATTATAATATTTCTGACTGAGGCAAAATTTCACCGATTACAATCGAATCGAATCAAATTGTGGATCGAAACTATTCAGGACCTTGTGAATCGGAATCTAATCAATTCTAGATATCAGTGATGATACCCAGCCCTAAACATGACTCAAGTGCGGGACCCAGGCAAAACAAAGCAGAATAATCAGTTAAAAAATTAATTCAATCTGGAGATATTTACAAATAATTTAAACTGTGGCAAGTGACTAATTCAACTTGAACAAACACAAAACAAGAGTGATCTTTTGCATGGGCAAGAGTCTTGACTAAACACAAAGATCAGATTAACTTGAGTGAGTCCTGTCAGTAACACATTAAGCTAGCCAATATTACTTTTTTTTAGATCATTTTTAATTTTTTTTCCATAACATCTGTGTAAAAGAAAAATTGTAATCTCAAAAGACTGATAAAAGTTAGAAGACAAAGACATATACATGTATTCCTTTTCTTACAAGGTATCTTGACACCTTTTAAAAAATCCTACCCTGCAAAACTTTTTTTTTTTTTTTTTTACACCTGCTAAGTTATAATGGTTTTCCCTTTAACTTGCCTCCATAGCTCCATACAATTTCAGAAATTTTGTCCCCTCAATCAGCGTAGTATTGGTGGTTTTACATGAATCTTATTTAGTAAAGTTCAGGACTTCATATTCTCGTTGTCAATTATCAGTAACTAATGTATTTTGGCTGGGCAGCACTGGGCAGCATGGAAGCATGGTACTTAACACTGTTGCATCACAGCAAGAAGGTCCTAAATTCATCTCCACCATCTACTGTATTTTTGTGCGGAGTTTGCATGTTCTCTCTGTGTTTTCACTGGTTCTCTTGTATACTCTGGCTTCCTCCCAGAAGCCAAACACATGCAGTTAATGAGGTTAGGTTAACTGGTGATTCTAAACTGCCTGTGAATGTGAGTGCCAATAGATGTCTATGTATGTATATGTATATATATTTATGTATATGTATGTGTTAGGCCTACGACGGAGTGGCGACCCACCCTGTTCTCCCAATAAGGATAAGCACAAGAGAATGGATGGGTGAATAATTTAATTAGGAAAACCACTTTCCTAATTAGTCAGAATAAATTACTCTGAATTAAAGACTACTCCTGTTATATTATAAGTCCTTTCTGAGAAATTACCAGCAGTATTATATTACTGTGAATAATATATAATTTGTCACATCTATTGGCACTTAGCCATAACCAATTAAACTTCATTTTAAAGCGAATGTAAAGTTGTTTGGTTTGAATTCACAGGTTCTGGAGAGACAAAACTGACTATTGAGTCTAGCACCTTGTCGGTCCTCAATGACCTGCTGGCCAAAGTGTCCTATACCAGCACCATCTACCATATAAACACTGGAGACCTTGGTATGTGTCAAAAATGTGAAGAGCTATAACCCCCATTTTTAAATGACAATTGAATTTGCAAAATGTCGTGTGCATTTTACATTATCATTAAAAAATTTAAAATAACTGAAATAATGAGTCCTGAATTGCTTCTTTGTTATTTTTCTTCAAACAAAAGTCCCGCTTGTTCTGAACCTAAACAAATGTTATTTTTGTGTTCAGTCACTTTCCAGTTTGAAAACTATGAAGCCGTGTTTCCCATTACCATCCAGCAGCCTCATGTACCAGTCCTGTATGACATGGGAACAGGTAGAAGTGTACTCTTTATCAGGGGTCAAAAGCCAAGTCCATCCATCCATCCATCCATCTTCATCTGCTTTATCCGAGGCCGGGTCGCGGGGGCAGCAGCCTAAGCAAGCACCTTTTTTTGCTCCTCCTTGAATCGCTACCTTATCATGGTGGAGGGGTTTGTGTGTCCCAGGGATCCCAGGGGCTATGTTGGCTGGGGGCTTTTGCCCCCAGGTAGGGTCTCCCATGGCAAATTGGTCCTGGGTGAGGGACCAGACAAAGAGCGATTCAGAAGACCCTTATGAAAAAGATATCGAGGGAACAGTTTACCCTGCCCGGGATAGGGTTACCGGGGCCCCGCCCTGGAGCCAGGCCCGGGGAGGGTGCCCGAGGGCGAGCATCTGGTGGCCGGGCCTTAGTCCATGGGGCCCGGCCGGGCACAGTCCGAAGAGGAGACATGGGCCCATCCTCCCGCAGGCCCACCACCCGCAGGAGGCGCCATAGGGGTCGGGTGCATTGTGTGCCAAGTCCATATTCATTTAAATGCTTCTTTATTATTTGCATCTTGTTTATCATTGCATACAATTAAGAACATTAGCTATGTTGAGGCAGAATCACTGTCTCCTTCCATCATTGTCATTTTCTCATTAACTTACACTAGTGGACCCCCCCCCAAAAAAAACAAACAAACAAACAAACAAACACTATACTCTCAAAACTCTTCTTCATTCCTAGTTGTTTCCACCTGAAACACTTTGCTTAGTTAAGAACTAGTAACTGATTAGTTAGAAATATCAGCCTAAAGATGTAGGAAATCCACAAGAATATAATAATTATGTCACAATGTTTGAAACGGACTCACGTGCAGACCAGGTATCCTTGGCAAAGAGAAAGTGCGTTTATTTACAGTGAGACACCAGGTGAGGATATATATACAGTGCAGCGGGGGAAAGGGTCCGGGGCTCCAGGGTCCAGGGAGAAACAGGGATTAATCCAATACACGCTCCCAGTGGGTTCCAAACACACACTCACTCGGGTCCAGGGCAGACCTATATACACACAGAGAAAGAAGTCCAGGTTAGGGATAGTCTCAAACTCACAGATACTGATTCAGGTTCAGGTTCAGGTTCAGGTTATGGTTCAGAGGGACTGACGCTGATGGCTCAACGATCCAGCGAAGGATGACACAGGTCCTTCATCATAAATAGTGCTCCAAATCAGCTGGGATTGGCTGCAGGTGTGACTGTGAGCACAGGTGCGTGGACCAGGGGTGGAAGCCCGTAATGAGCACTGCCCCAGCAGAGGAGAGAGAGTGCAAAGGAAAAACAAACAAAACATCTTGCCAAACACAGAGTCAGCCACTGAGGCACAGGGACCATGACAGTACCCCCCCTCAACGGGAGCCTCCCGGCGACCCACCAGGCGACCCACCAGGCTTACCCGGATGTGAACGGTGGAATTCCCGCAGCATCCGCTTATCCAAAATGGCCGCTCGCGGGACCCAAGAACGCTCCTCCATGCCATACCCCTGCCAATCCACTAGGTATTGAACACCACTCCCCCGGCAACGTGAGTCCATGATGCGGGTGCGAGTAGGCGGGCAAGCCATCCACAATCCGGGCAGGAGGCGGGGGCCTGGAAGGAGGGCACAGAGCGATAGGTTTGTAGCGTAAACGTATTCGATGGAACGTTAAGGACAATTTCCTACACAGCAAAACAAGACACGAGTAGGCAAAGTTCTTCTTCATGTTTCTCGTGCACGGGAGAGAACCGGACAAACGCCGTTCCTTCGCTTGACCCCAGTCGCTCTCGTCCGCTCCCCCGTAACACTGCTCTTTTAGTGAGGTTACATGAATATACATAGGTTCATTAACATATGATGTCTACATACAAACAAAGAGTACCTTGCCTGTGTGTGTGGTCAGAGTGTGACCCCATAAATGACTTCCTGCTGGTCTGGAAGTCCAGCAGTTCATCTAAACAAAAGGCACTTAGACTAAAACAGATAGATACATAATAATGTGTGGCACCCACAGGCAATGCCGCCCACAGTGCAGGTAGCAGGAAGAATGGAGGCAGGAACGGTCCTTCCATCTGAGGCTGAGAATTGACGGGACAGGGCGTCTGCTTTGATATTTCGGGATCCAGGTCCAGTGATCCAGTGAAAAACAGGGCCCACCTTGCTTGTCGGGCGTTGAGTCTTTTGGCAGATTGCAGGTAGGCCAGGTTTTTATGGTTAGTCTAAACGACAAAGAGTTGAGCCGTGCCCTCTAACCAGTGCCGCCACTCCTCCAAAGCGAGTTTTATTGCCAGCAGCTCTCGGTCTCCAACGTCGTAGTTTCGTTCCGCTGGGGATAGCTGGTGGGAGAAGAAAGCACATGGATGAAGTTTACCTGTCTGTTGCTGTGACAGCACGGCCCCCACACCTGAGTTAGAGGGGTCGACCTCGACCAATTCAATTCAATTCAATTCAATTTTATTTATATAGCGCCAAATCACAACAAAAGTCGCCTCAAGGCGCTTCATAGATACAGAGAAAAACACAACAATCATATGACCCCCTATGAGCAAGCACTTTGGCGAGAGTGGGAAGGAAAAACTCCCTTTTAACAGGAAGAAACCTCCGGCAGAACCAGGCTCAGGGAGGGGCGGCCATCTGCTGCAACCGGTTGGGGTGAGAGAAGGAAGACAGGATAAAAGACATGCTGTGGAAGAGAGACAGAGGTTAATAACAGAGATTCAATGCAGAGAGGTCTATTAATACATAGTGAGTGAGAAAGGTGACTGGAAAGGAAAAACTCAATGCATCATGGGAATCCCCTGGCAGCCTACATCTATTGCAGCATAACTGAGGGAGGATTCAGGGTCACCTGGTCCAGCCCTAACTATATGCTTTAGCAAAAAGGAAAGTTTGAAGCCTAATCTTAAAAGTAGAGATAGTGTCTGTCTCCCGAATCTAAACTGGAAGCTGGTTCCACAGAAGAGGGGCCTGAAAACTGAAGGCTCTCCCTCCCATTCTACTTTTAAATACTCTAGGAACAACAAGTAGGCCTGCAGAGCGAGAGCGAAGCGCTCTAATAGGGTGATATGGTACTACAAGGTCATTAAGATAAGATGGGGCCTGATTATTTAAGACCTTGTATGTGAGGAGCAGGATTTTGAATTCAATTCTGGATTTAACAGAAGCCAATGAAGGGAAGCCAAAACAGGAGAAATATGCTCTGTCTTTCTAGTCCCTGTCAGGACTCTTGCTGCAGCATTTTGGATTAGTTGAAGGCTTTTCAGCGAGTTTTTTGGACATCCTGATAATAATGAATTACAGTAGTCCAGCCTGGAAGTAATAAATGCATGAACTAGTTTTTCAGCGTCATGCTGAGACAGGATATTTCTAATTTTAGAGATGTTGCGCAAATGGAAGAAAGCAGTCTTACATATTTGTTTAATATGTGCGTTGAAGGACATGTCCTAGTCAAAAATGACTCCAAGGTTCCTCACCGCGTTACTGGAAGCCAAGGTAATGCCATCCAGAGTAAGAATCTGGTTAGATACCATATTTCTAATATTTTCAGGGCCAAGTACAATAACCTCAGTTTTATCTGAATTAAGAAGCAGAAAGTTAGCGGCCATCCAGGTCTTTATGTCTTTAAGACATTCCTGCAGTTTAACTAATTGGTGTGTGTCATCTGGCTTCATGGACAGATAGAGCTGGGTGTCATCTGCATAGCAGTGAAAATGTATGCTATGTCTTCTAATGATACTGCCTAAGGGAAGCATGTATAATGTAAACAGAATTGGTCCTAGCACCGAACTCTGTGGAACTCCATAATTAACCTCAGTGTGTGAAGAGGACTCTCCATTTACATGCACAAATTGGAGTCTATTAGATAGATATGATACAAACCACTGCAGCGCAGTACCTGTAATACCTACAGCATGTTCTAATCGCTCTAATAGGATATTATGATCAACAGTATCGAACGCTGCACTAAGGTCTAGCAGGACAAGCACAGAGATGAGTCCACTGTCAGAGGCCATAAGAAGATCATTTGTAACCTTCACTAAAGCTGTTTCTGTGCTGTGATGAGCTCTGAAACCTGACTGAAACTCTTCAAATAAACCATTCCTCTGCAGATGATCTGTTAGCTGTTTGACAACTACTCTTTCAAGGATTTTTGATATGAAAGGAAGGTTGGAGATTGGCCTATAATTAGCTAAGACTGCTGGGTCTAGAGATGGCTTTTTGAGTAAAGGTTTAACTACAGCCAGCTTGAAGGCCTGTGGTACATAGCCGATTATTAGAGATAGGTTGATCATATTTAAGATTGAAGAATTAATTAATGGCAGGACTTCTTTGAGCAGTTTTGTAGGAATGGGGTCTAAAAGACACGTTGATGGTTTGGAGGAAGTAATTATTGAAGTTAACTCAGAAAGATCAATTGAAGAAAAAGAGTAACTTAACATCAATGGTACTAAGAGTAGCTCTAGATATTATTACATCTGTGGCAAATGGCAAGGCAAGGCAAATTTATTTGTATAGCACAATTCAACAACAAGGTGATTCAAAGTGCTTTACAGAGACATTAGAAACAAAAACAAATAAAAAGCATGATTTAAAATTGATTAAAACAAGCAAACAAACAAACTAACTAAACACACACATTCACATTCACACCTGTTCGCGCGATCTGAACCCTTATCATAAGGGGAGCTACCAGTCCTTCTGTGGACGAGCTAATTTCTATTTTAAATTCCCTGAATTTAAAATACTCTCTAGACCCAGTCTAGACCCAGCTGGGGAGCTACCTAGAGCTCTAAACCCACTTAACAAACAAACAAACAAAACAGTATATAAAATCAGTAGTTAATGTAAGTTTTGAAATTTAAGCTTAAAAGTGTGGATTTGGTGCTTTATTCAAATGCAACTGAGAATAGGTGAGTCTTCAACCTGGATTTAAATAAACTGAGTGTTTCAGCTGATCTGAGGCTTTCTGGGAGTTTGTTCCAGATATAAGGAGCATAAA